CACTATGTTTGATGAAAATCGATCCAAGATGGCCGCCGCCACAAAATGTCGGATTACATATTTTGTCACGATTCCATCAATATGGGTATCAAATAAAAGGGCTTGAGTAGTGGAATACTGAACACTATGACAAATTTAAAATCCAAGATGGCCGCCACCAAAAATGTAAGATTACCTACATATTTCTCACGACTCCCTCAATACGGATATCAAATAAAAGGGCTTGAGTAGTAGAATACTATACACTATAACAAATTTCAAATCCAAGATGGCCGCCACCAAAAATGTTGGATTATCTACATATTTTGTCACGACTCCCTCAATACGAATATCAAATAAAAGAGCTTGAGTAGAAGAATGCTGTATACTATGACAAAATTTTATATACAAGATGGCCGCCGCCACAAAATGTTGGATTACCTACATATTTTGTCATTACTCCCTCAATACGGATATCAAATAGAATACTATAGGTACACTATGACAAATTACAAATCCAAGATGGTCGCCATCATAAAAGAGCGAAATTATATAATAGGTACAGACAGTCACATGTCAGGTTACCACAATCTAACACTGAAATAATTTTTCAAATCGAACCAGCAGTTACTGAGATTAGCGCGTTCAAGCAAGCAAACAAACAAACAAACTCTTCAATTTTATAATATTAGTATAGATTATCTATTGAAAGCGTGAAGTTATTTCAACTTATATTATTATACGGTAAGTTAGATTTAAATCGGTGTAGCTGTTTCAAATTAAGAGGGGGCGGGGGGGAGTAAAAGTGGGGATGACCAATGTTATTGCTATTTTAATAGAATAGAGTCCCCTTTTGGAAACTAGATCTGAAATACCTAAGATAAATACCTAATTATATAACTATGAAATACTTGTACGAAAGTAGAAAAACTAAAAGAACTAAAAAAAGATAATCTACCAAATTAACTGAATTGCAATCGACACAATATAATAAAAAAAATAAAGTAAAAAGCTAAAAACAAATTAAAAAAACTATGACTTAATTATCCACAAATAATGTAAAAAAGGGATAAACGTGAAACCCTTTAAAAAGAAAAAATAACCTTGACATTATGACCCTACATACTTACAGACAACAGCATGTCACACTATTTCACTTTGAACTTTGCGCTAATATTGAACTGCAAGTACCTTGACCTGCTGTTGACCGTATATATGAATTTTTTTTATTTAATGTTGTCGCGTTGGGGGACACATTTTTTTTATTATTAACAAATTTATTTAATCTATACATTGCTGCCATCTAATAGGAAGGTCATTTATGCCTTTGCGATAGAACTCTGAGGATCTAGACTGCACAAACTGTGTGAAAGCATTTTGTACTGCCTCCTGGGAAGAAAACCAAATCACGAAAAATATAGTAGTCCTTTGGAGCAAGGTCTGGGGAATACGATGAGGATGAAGAATGGTTTCTAATTCCAGTTCCTGAAGGTTCAAAACAGTTTCTCGTGCTGTATGAGGTTTCACGTAGTCATAGAGCAATAATGGTGAAGATCGATTCATGAATCGGGGCTGTTTTACTGCTAGTTTTGCCAACATTGTTTGTAGTTCGGCACAATAGACATCTGCCGTTATTGCTTGACCAGATCGGAGTAAACTATAGTGAATAACACACACAATAACATTTATTGGTCAGTTTTGCTTTAGGATACTGTTGTGGATTTTGACCTGAGGTCAGCCATTGTATTGTTCTTATACGGTTATCATAAAGAATCCACTTTTTATCACATGTCACAATTCGATACAATATTTCTTCATTTCTGTACCGATTCAACAAGGCAACACAAGTTTCAACACGGTTTCTTTCTGCAGATCAGTCAAATCATGAGGAACCCATTATTCGTATTTTTTGTTATTTTATTGATTTCACGCAAATGAGTCAATATTGTGGGTAAGGTAACGTTAAACCATGCCCCTAATTCCTGGGTAGTTTTACTAGGATCGGTGTGGACGTTCTTTCTCGTGGCTCATTCTTCAGGTCGAAGTTTCCATCACGAATCACGAAAGCGTTTAAACCAAAACCGCACGGTGCGTTCATTAGCAGATCCCTCTCCAAACGCATCATTGATATTGCGGGCTGTTTGTGCCGCGTTACTACCGCGTCGGAACTCGTTTTCAAAAATCACTCGAATTTTGGCAGTACCTATCCATCTTTCTTGTCTAAGTTAAATTACAAAAACAATTGAAAATCGATATTCAAATGTTTCACATTTTTAGAAAGAAGAACAACATAGAAACCATGTGAAAAAAGTTTCTTACGAAAACCTCAAACCATGAAGATTTTATTCAAGGAACCTATTACAATACAACGGCGATTTCATACTTTAACCCCTAATACTACATATTCAACGTCTTGACAAACATAAAATCTTTGTGTTACTAGAATCACTAATAAATACAACAGGTAGTGTTTACGCAATTTTATATTTTAAATGATATTTGTTTTACCACTATCCCTTACTTTAGAATAAAACGACCATTTCATGTTTTTACCTAAAATTTATATTTTACTCTTATTTTACCCTTAGCGATAAAGGTCACTATTTATTACAGACTACATAATTACAATGAGATCGACGTCAACACGACCCTAATCCTCTACAATAAACAGAACAAAATAAACTGTCTCGTGCCTGAGGCGAGTTTGATATCGAGCAGACCCTAAAGGGAGTCGCACATGATTACTTTTCGCAGCGATACAATCACCAGATGACAGCGGCCGATAGTCGCGATGCTATCGCTGATCGTGTCGTTCCTATTACCTCGTGTGCTCATATGTTTTGTGACAAAATTTTTACTGAAAAAATAAAATAATAAAATAAAAAAAATAAAATAATAAAAAATAAAATAAATAGACTGTTATTTTTTTTTTACAGATTATGAATTCGGAATGTTAACATTTAGTTTATTTATATCGCAAATTCATTTGTTTATATTTTCTCGTGATGAAGGGAACGAAACAATGACGTGCAACTGTCATTTCGCTCTTTATGGCGGAAAAATCCGATGCAAATTTTCCGCAAGCTGAAAAGTTTTCCTGTAAGCCGTAACTTCGTCTATTACAAAATATAGCAGCACAAAGGTCAAGTTCTCTGCAAGATCGCCAAAGGAGTGGTCGACCACGCTATGTGAGGACGCCTGTGAATATCAAACTCATCAGACTGCTATTTCTCAGAAAAAAGTGTCGCACTCGCACTGCAGACTAATATGTCGCGCGTTTCAGTAGACAAAATACTGAAATATGATCTTAAGGTAAAGGCTTATCGCCGTAGAAAAGTTCACTTTTTAAACAATCTACGAAGACAATCGTCGCGAACGTTGTCCATTGCTGCTGAGAAGACATGATGCCAGAAAGATACTCTTCACCGGCGAGAAAATTTTTACTGTCAAAGAAAACTTCAACCAACAAAACAACAAAGTGTTTGCTAAAAGTAGCAAGGATGTCCCAGCTTCTGCACGGAATCTCTCGCGCACTCGTCATCCGGCTAGTGTGATGGTATGATAGGGAGTTTCGTATGAAGGTGTCACTGCGCTCCATTTCTGTCAACAAGGTGTCAAGGTGCACTTATCAGAGTGACATTTTACAGCCCGTGGTGAAACCCCTGTCTAATACGTTATTTCACAATAAGGATTAGGTTTTTCAGCAAGACTCGGCGCCATTTCATAAGGCACAAAGCGCCCAAGCTTGGTTGACAGAGAATGTGGCGGCCTTCATCGCGGCGGACAAGAGGTCCTCCTCCAGCCCCGATCAACAACGCTGGATTATTCTTTATGGACTGAATTAGAACTCAGGGCCTGCCGAAAGTCAAAAACCAAACTTGAAATCACCGAAATGAACTCTTGTTCGAGGAGCAAAGCGCTAGAAAAAATTCGTGCCGCCATTGATGGCTGGCCAATTCGTGTAAGGACCTGTATTAAAAACAAGGGCGGTCCTTTTGAATAAAATATATATTTTATTGTTGATTATTATCTATTTAATGGTTATTATCTAATACTTAACATTTTAGAAATATAAGTTAATTATTAAAATAGTTACGCAACTTTTATTTCGTTTCGAGACTTATGAACACACGAGGTACATATTCCAATATCGATACAACCGCGTGTTTCCAGAATAATTAATTAGAAACCAGACAATTCACATATTATGCCCCCAGAATTTATCTTACAATGCTTTATACGTTTGTACTGAATAGACTCCGAAGTGGTTTCGAAAATATTGAAAGATAAATTCTGGGGGTGTAATATGTGAATATTCTAGTTTTTAATTATTCACCCACGAGAAGCTCAGCGGGCTAAGTTGCGGAAAAACAGCTACTGTTGCATAGGTCTAGTACTATACAAAATCCGTCACGCAGAATCGCGTAGAAACGCAGTTTTGCGTAGCCCGAATAAGCGACTGTACGTTGTTACAAAAAGTTATTGTGAGCGACCAACTTAAATTTCACTATAGTCTGTAATTTGCCGCAACAAAAGACACCATACGGTTTTGTTTTTGTTTGATAAACAGAACATAATTATTTTCTCTAGTTAAGTATAATTAATTATATTTATACTGAGCCTAGACTCCAACAAAATCATTATTGTTAGGATTTATTTGTTGAAAACAAACATTTTTTTAATAACTCACAAAATACTGACAAATAAATATTATGTAAGTATGTATGAGATAGGATATTAAATTATTTGTTTAACTAAATTAATACATTTATCACATTCTCCACATAGAATAGTTACTATGTAGAAAACCTAGTAGTCGTGTATATCACACTTTGTTCAGATTATTATAATATAGAAATATCCGTAAACCGAATTTCATGGTTTGGTTGAAAAATATTCATCGTGAAAAGACAGGTTTAAACGATATATAAAAATGTACCATACGATCTAAGGATAGTAAATAAAGGTATTTCCATTTATAATAATTTTATATTAATTTTCCTCAATCGAGTAATACTCACATTCTCCTCTACTGTCTTCTTGATCTTGGCGCTGGCTTCGCTGACCTTCGCCCCGGCCTTATTCACCGCTGAGTACAAGAAGTTACCCAAAGACTTAGCACCGGCCACAGCTTTGGTAGTCACTGTTGAGTAAATGTTACCATTTCAATATAAATCTTTCACCAACGAGCAAGCTACATTATATGCATGTGACATAGGCTATAATTTACACAGGTAAAGTCGCGAGAAAACAGCTAGTAAAAAATATTTTTAAATACAAGTTTTCATTGAAACATATTTAGAACAACAATAGTCGTTAAGCCAATAAAAAAATCAAATAGGAAACTGATTATGCTGTAGTGGCCATATTTAGTAGTTATTCTATAAGTGAAGCCAAAGCAACGGATATACTCGTAAAATTTGTTTTTCGCTTTTTTGTTCCGGCAACCATTTTGATCTTTTAGCTCAATCGGAAACTGATAAAAGTGGATCAAATTAAACATGCAAGATGTCACCCAATACATACACAAAATATGTTCAATAAAAGCTTGTAAGAAATGGTTAGCATTTTATATACATAATAATACCACAACCACTTCATTTCCAAACAATTAAGTTTTTATTTCTAGTACACACGGCTACAAGTAGCTTGATTTGCAGCCGTGTGTGTTGTGTGTGCATGTGCCATTATACTTATTTATAACAATCATATAAAAATAATAAAAAACATATATATATATAAACATTGTTAAAAAGAAACCTGTAAACAGTGGCTTAACTTAACATTTGAGGACCGTGGCAAATTCATCGGATATTCATTTTTTTTTAAAATTGCGTAGTAATAAAATGTCAGGAGTAAGGAGTCTCCTCTGACCTGGGGCCCCTTCCAGCTGGGGGCCCGTGGCATTTTGCCGACTTGCCACCCTGTAGTTATGCCACCGCTTGTAAAATTAGTCAATAAACGGTAACTAGTAAATAACAGACCAAAGCGACGCTTATTTACTGAAAGCGCGTCATCTTCTTTCATTCAAGTTCGTTTATGTGTGTTTGTGCGGATTTTTACAATTTATGAAAAAATTGTGCCTAATTATGCATATTGTAGTTTGTTGCCACTCTGACTACTCTATATACAATTGTACAGAGCTGCGCCAAAGTGGCAGTTGAAACTCGAATCGACCTCCGAGGTCGAATGGCTCGCACGTCAGTTTCAAGGTGACACCATCTCCTAGGTCCCGGGTTCGATTCCTGGTCGGAATTTATGTAGAAAAAGAAACTCGGCAAAAGACAGATAGCCTATGTCACAGATAAATTATACCTTATGCCAATGTCACTCGCGTAGGATTAATTAATATACTGTAATATCGGAGTCTATTCAATGCAAATAATCAAATCTTGGACTTCGTGGTTTCTACTACATTCTTTTACTATTTTACTAGTTACAATTTTTACTAGTGAACATTTGCACTTGTATTGGATAACTTTGTGCATCATCTCAAAAGATTTAAAATCTTCTTTTCTAAAATCTAGCTTTTAATGTCGGTCGTATTCAAATGGTTAAATCATGCATTTACAATGGCTCCGGTTCGTAAATATCCTTTCTTTAAAAACAGAATAGAGCGTAAGAAATTAAAACTAATGAGCACTGCGCTGAACACAAAAGAATTTCGTACGTTCCTCTTTATGGCTCCTAATGGATATCGTAAACGTTACTATCCCTTACTTCTTGCCAAAAGATAAAATCGGAAACGACTGAAACCATTTGACACTTTCGTGCATATTCGAAATCGAAACTGCAAACGTCTTCAAGGTCATTAACCCGTTAAAGTGTGGTACATTAACCCGTTAGGTTGAAGGTGTGGTACAACTGGATGATGATGACAAAAGGCAAGGGAAACTAAAACGTAACACGTCTTAGCATTTTGAATTGATGGAAACTAAATGGATCATTAACGTTTATTAAGTAACATTCAATCACCGCCAATTGTTTAGTAACAATAAATGGAATACCGCGATCATCTTTCTCTTTCTAATCGAGAATCAGCTGGAGGCCTGCCCACCAATTCTGTAATACTTCAAACCCGAATTCGAATCCACTCAAGTGTCCGAATTCACTTCAAAAAGCAGCATCCGCTCAAACTTGAATTGGTAATAATGTTTCGTGGCATAAGTGAAGTGAGTTTCGAAATGATATAGGATTAAAATATATAAGACACGTTTAATCAATCAATTTTGTTTATACAAAAAATGGAAACGATAGGATTTCTATACTTAATGACGAGAATTTGGACACATGAGTGAATTCGAATTCGGTTCTGGATTTTTACAGAATCGCAGGGATGATGTCCTTGCTCTAAGTGTATGAATAAAACTTTCAATGTAGAGATATGAAAAAAATAATCGCTTATGAGAAAACCGATTAAATAGAAAGTAAAATAGATGACATAAAACAACAATTTGTTTTGTAATAACTGTCAAAATATATATACTTGTTGTGAACAATCTGTTTAAACGTTTGTACCTTTTAAGATTTTCCTTTATACCAGTGTCAAAAGTAATCCGTCGTCGACATTTAATGTACCCAGAGTATCCCTTGGGCGATCCTAAGCAAACTCACACGTATTTGAGAGATTTCGGGGCTTACCATCCAAGAACAAGAGGGCAATTTCGACAATATTGAACAGAGTTTAGTTTGAATCTCTGAAACGTAGTAGTATTAATACGATAGGTAGTGTTGCTATACGACACTATTAATCTACAAAATTATCGAAATTATTGTACGCGACAAGAGGGAAAATTTATGAAACTCAAATACATACATTAAAAATAACAAGAATGAGTTGAAAAAGCAGGACATTTGTGATGGCGTACATATATAAAACAATTAATGAACAACATCACAGAAATAAAATGATGAATGAAATAACGAATATACCATAAGAATATAAATAATTACAATCAATAATTTTTTAATAAAATAAACACAATAACTTTCTTGTTTTTCAGAAAAATGTTTTCTGGCTTCAATAGTTTAAAATTTCTTCGTTGTAAACAAACTTTACGTCAAATACAATTAGTATTTATCAAATATATAAATGAAGTTTCTTTAAGCTCGCATTTCAATATAAAATAGTCTGGAATCACAATATCGTTACAAAACAATTATTATTTGTGTACTTGTACGCATACTACAAATAAACGAGAACAGGTTATCAACTCAAGAAAACTAGTGCTAGTGAGTTACCAACCTAGTGCTTCGTATATAGAATCTAGCTTCTTTTGTAGGTTAGTAGGACAAAGGGTAGCCTTTGCGGACCCATCCCAAAATGCACTACGTCTTATGATTAAGAACAGTGTGTATGAGACAAGTGTTATTATTCTCTAAATAAGTTTTTTATGCAAAGAATAATCAAGTTTCCAACAAATACGAAAAAAATTGATTCGCCTGTTCTGGAGCTTGCATTAGCAACACATTAAGTTGAAAAAAACATGTCAGGTCTGAATGTTTCTTTAATCCAACTTTAGATCAAAGTACTTTTGTTTCATCCAACATTATTTAAATATCAGTGATATCTTTAGTCTGTGTTATTAAAGCATACTTTAAACTACCGTCACCATTTATTAGTCCCATTAAAGTAAAACAAAAATGTCTATGAAATACTAACGCTCTTCCATATCAGGTACTTCGATAGCATCAACAATGGACAATTTTTTACTGTGTTGACCTGAAATCAGTGAGAAACAAAAAATAAACAAAACCAGCAGAAAAATAAAAAGTTCTCAAAAAATTAACTGTATATTCAAGGTCACTACATTATATTAGATTCAATTTTGAATCATATTACTGATTTGTTGAATTAAATAAATTTATCTGCGTTAAATTGGGTACGATTCCGGATGTACTAACCTATTCCTGTACGAAATTTGCAAAGAAATAAAAATTTACTTGCGCGTTTTCACTATAATTTCATATTACCTTTATAGTGTAGTGATCTAAGGGTAATTAATTAATCAACAAACAATAATATGAATTACGATCAACACGTTTCATAATAAAATTATTTAAAAAAATATATAAGTCAAGCAAAAGTAATGGAACAAATCTAGTAACAAATTAAAAAACTAGCTGTAATGAACCTTATGGCGATGTTATTAAAGTTCTTACCATTGCCTACGCCGGCTGGTTGATCCTCGGTGGGCGTGCCGCCAGTGGACGCAGGCCTGCTATCCGCTCCACCAGTGGCGCTGTTGGTCATAATCAAATGTCATCTTTTTATGTTAAACTAACTTTCTGCCCAGAGGCTTCGCGATAATAACTATCCTGTATCCTTTCCCGAGGTCCACTCTAAGTGTACTAATTTCATTAAAATTGGTTCAATATTTAGGCGAAAAAACATAAAAGACACCCACACAGACAAAGTTACTTATTCATTTATACTAATAGAATAGATTGTTTGTCGCTTTATCTCATCACTTTTTTAATAAAATTGTATAGCCAAGCAATCTGATTCTTATGCAAGGATAAACCAATTTAATGGCTATAAAAATACGAGTACAGCACGGGTTTCCGATCATTATTTCCGGATTATAAAATGATGAACAGCTTACTTTGATAAAATATGGCTATTTACAGTGCAATATGAGAAATCTCCTTGTAAACGAAAGAGTAGTCATTAGTTTTCAATGCCAAAGTTAGAGTTTCAGACTTGCGTTTAGGTTACGCGCTCACTGGTCATCTTTCGTCATCGTGACTACAGTTGAGTCATTATTATAAGTAACATTTAATATCTCTGTTTCAACTTCAAAATAACCTTGTAATTTAGGAAACATAATTTTATTATAAATTTTTCAAAGTTATGGCATTGGCACGATTGCAAATTTCTTTGTTATGAAAAAATATTTATTGTTATAATATAAAACTAAAGTAATTTTAAGTTTTACTTTGACCAATAAACCTTTCTAAATGTAATAAATATATTTAATTCTAAACAAACTAGACGCCGCTACAGTGTTGTCTGTGGACCCGTTGCCTTTTTAAACAGTAGGGACGTATCCAAAGAATCGGGAAGATTTTTCTCTACTTGGAAGTTGATTTGATAATTATTTATGAAAACATTAACATATAATCACATTGGAATTCTAACATTCTCAATTTACTCCATTTCTTATTGTTTTTATTTTTTATTGGGAAAATTGATAAAAATAAATAAACCAATATGTGACCGATGGAATCATCAAACAGTTTTTGACGCGCAATTTGACATCCACTGTCCCTATCTATTTGCCGTGGGCAATGAAATACAAAAGTGTTTTGAATTTGTTCCCACTTTTTAAGCTTTTGTATTACGCTTAGTAAGTAAAAGTAATTTGTGCGTTATTCATTTATTGTCTATGATTTTCTTCTGTTGTTCTTGTTACAATACATAATTTGATAAATCAATCTCACGAAGTAATATATTAAAAATAATCATAACATTGATATTATTTTAACACTTCAAATTATTTTATTCGATTCACATTTCCTTGAAAACCATATCGATTCGTTAAATTAATCATTCGAATCACATTTACTTTAAAACCATATCGATTCAAAAAATTTAAGAAGGCCTGAGGCCTCCTCACTATCAAGTTCAGACTGATAGATGTCAAATGTAACTTTTCATAATGACCCAACTGTAACGCCCGGATTCTGAATTGACAATTTAAAGTTAAGCATGTCTCAGACCGTACTTAAACCATCTTAAACGTCACTTAATCTGTTGATAGCACTTTGATAAAACTAGGACTTTTTGCCATGTGAAACGTAAAAGTCTTAAGTTATTGAGAATAATCAGTTAAGATTTTGTACTTTTCTCAATTCAGAACCACCCGTCATTGTTTTTGTCACCGTGCTCCACTCATTTCTATGAAAGAAACAGAAATCAACTATGACAAAAAATCTCTAGTGCGCACGTAGCTTAAGAGTGTAAATTCGTCTTTTCCATCACACCATTCCCAGTAATCACACCACTTAGCTGACAATTGACCCGAAACAAACTCGTTTTCTTCTTTCGTTACAACCTCACTTATCCTAATCTAAGTAACGACGCTTCTACTCGTATTCACCCAAAAAAAAACACAGAACAAAGGAAAATGTTGATCAAGTACAAACGTAGATTTCCATGTTCAAAAGACTACTTTAAGAGGCTTAGGCATTATTGCACAATAAATCCAAAATTCGTTGGTCGCTCGAATGTTAAAACCAATTGTAATAGGTTTAAATTGCATTTTTCCGACTTTTCTGATCAGTCGGTGCGGGGCTGTAATTGAGGGCTATTTTAGTTAAGTTTATGGCATGGCATGGCATTTTCGTGGTAAAAAATCAGTGAACATACTTTAAAACTATCATATCTAGTAATGTTAAAGTTAATGCCAAAGCAAATTCCTGACGATGCTCCGTGGATGAACGAAACAAATGTAGAGTGGTAGTCGAAACTTATGTTGCCGTTTGAACCATGTGAAATTGTGTGCGAGCAATGAACAGCAGTTCTTGCTGATGTTTGAACGGGTGTGTAAGTTACTAGATATCATAGTTTCACGGTTATAGCAATGGACTTCCACAAAATAGCACCTGGTTTTATTAAAAACAGTGGACCTTATTAGGCGAGAGTACCTTAAGACGTCTACAATAATATCGATATGGGTATACTTGTATATTTAAAAAAATACTCGAGAAAGGGAGAAAATTTAGAAGACAGGGAAGTCCATGACAACTTTAAGTTGATCACTTTGAGAAGTTATAAAACACTTAGTTTGTTTATGGACATCTCTCACTCTATCCCGCATGGGATCTATCTAAACGAGAGAGTCCCTCTCACACACCTCCTGCCGCGACAAAATAAAGGCATGCGGAATGCGGCCAAATTATGTGGTTCATTTTCATTATGTTATTTCTTGAATACAGGTTGTCTAGCAGTTAAATTGTAAATTCAATTTTACGCCACACAAGTCTCAAAGCCGTTTAAATTTTTTACCGTCTCTTCTAATAAATGAATGGTATAAAAGTATTACCGGAATTGCGTCAGTTTTCAACGCGTTCAAACGGTTTCGAATAACGTAGTCAACGCTTATTTCTTTGTGTGTGTTCAAATTGCTGAATATTTTACTTTAAATACAGAACGAAAAAATAATTCTTTTTTTATTTTTCATAGACATTTGTTAGATTTTACTTAGTATAAAAGTTACTACTTACATTTTTATCTATTAAGACCTGACATGTACTATTATAATAATCGCAATGATCTTTCAGTACCTAATGAATTAAAAATATTTTTTTTTTACATTGGGCACTTCTAATGTTAAAATAATAATGGCATCTCAATGGCGTCTTAAGTAACTGCATTTAGCCACTGTATCATTGACTAATAATTACAATAGCAATATAATATATCAATGTTGCTTGCATATTGCGTTTGTCATTTGAAGAGATGTTACTGAAATGCCATAGAGACGCCATAAATAACCCTCAACTCAGTAAAACAATACCCATTAGGTAATCTGTGACTCAACTGATTAACTAAAGTAATGCAAAGAATACCAATCACTGAATATCATCACAAACTTTAAAAATCATTTGTACACCATGTGTTTAAGCGAATCTACGCACTATATCACCTTTAATTTGTTAATTAAAGGATGATTCCTGTGACTTATGACAAAGTGGCATTTATTACCTTGTTCAATTATTCGTATTCGTTGCAAAACTGATTAACTTATATAAATTACTTATACATACATGTACACCAACCACATTTACCATCAACAAAGACAAAGAAACAATAGTTTTGTTAAAAATCAAAACCTTTTGAATAAATCAGTTAAGATATATCTGTGAATGTGATTAGGGTACACCTTAATTTAATAAAGAACAAAATGCACAACAATGAGAAATAAAAAATGGGGTTTGAGCAGAATAAATGAGTTTACAACTCAGCATGTGCTTTTACCAAAGAGCAAAAATAAATTCTAGCTCGATTAAAATGATTTAACATGCAATAAAACTTCACTTAGACTAGAATGAAAAAAAATACGGTTCTCTTAAATTTAAAACAATAAAATCTAATATTATTAGAACCATTAACCAAGATAATGGTTTATTTCTTTCACCAGTATATTGCGTCTTCTTTTTTTAAATGAATAATAATATTACAGAAACCCTGTGTTAGTACTGTAAAAGCTGAAGATAAAATATTGAATCAGGAACATACAAAAAAGCATAGTAGCTAATTAATTATGTAATTAGAGTGCTTGTCATTAAACATAAAAATTAGATGATGCACACAAATAATATATGATTTCTGAAAGCATTGCTTGCTTAACGTTAGAATATACAAAATTTATTCAGTTATGTACTCAAAAAATATGTTGGGCTCAATTCTGTCTTTTAATGATTACCATCGTAATAATTTATTATAACTGAGTTTGTTACATAAATAAATATTATTAGACATTCAGATACATTGCTCAAATTCCAAATTAAGTAAGTAGAGGTAGGTAGGTACCGTGAAAAAAAGGCTCTAGTATTTGTACTATAAAAATACTGAAATAATGAAAGTATATATAACACCAATGAAGGCACCAATAGAGATTCTTTTTAATTAAAGGGATCGGAAATCACACACGGGACCTCAAAAACGGTGATATCTCACCGGTATCACTGGTATGCGAACCACGAACTGGGTAGTCGAGATATTAGAAATAAACATTGAAATATGAAGCAACACTTGACGCTATTTCAAATTGAGTAGAAGAAAATACTGATTTCTTTAAAAGCAATATCCTCCCTTCTTTCCTTTTCTTATTCTTTACATTAATATACCCAAGGGGGTTCATAATTATATCTTCTTTTTATGTAACCATCTTAAAAAACATTATGTGGTTGAATTTATAATATAATTATTTGTATTTAACACAGCATTCAGCCCGTCTATATAAAATAAATAAAAAAAGTGCTCGTTTAAAATATTGTTAGGTGATCTAACCGAACATAAAGCAAGGAACTTTGAAGCTTTAATTACAAATCAATAACGCCATCACAAGCAGAAATAAATAAAATAATATTTAATAATAAACTCATTGTTTCCGCTAACCCCTCGTACCTATTATACCTAGAGTTATCGTCATCGTCCTTCTCTGGTTTAGGTTCGGCTGGCTCGGGTTCCGCGGGAGCTGGCTCAGCTTCGGCCGGCGGAGCCTCATTTTTCCTGAGCCCAGGGATGGGAATGCCAGAGCCGAGCCAACCGGTCATCTGTGACTTTACATTGGTAATAAGGTCCAGCTTACTACCACCTTTAGTTGGGCTGGAAATAAAAGAGAAACAATATAAGTCGTATTATCAGGGCCTCAATTCTGTTACGTAAACATACGTAATAACTGCATCTCATTAGAATCTTAACTACAATACTTCGATCCTTCCATTGTACTATCTACCTAAAGGCAGATATTGTTAGTGCAATGTCTTCCTCAAAAATCAATAGTGACAAATATATTTATTATTTTAAAAAGTACTGTGTCATAAAGGATTGTAGTACACTTTCCATAATTACGCTAACATTAGCAGAATTGCCCTACAGGTATTTCACTATGTGCTTTTACAAATGTAGATAGATCTTTATCTTTACTCTGAAGCTGTCATGTCAAATGTAACATATTTTAATGGCTAAGTATAACTTCTAATATTGCCAGTAATAACGTACTATTTAAATGCCGCAAAAGATTATATAAAGAAACGAATGAACTCAGAGTAGAATAAATGGCGACAGGGGAAATATACCGCAATGATAATGCGACCCCTGACATCCCTTCAACTGAAAGGGGTGCTTTGGAAGACCATAATTAAATCTGTTGCCTTATATAGATCGAAGCGCAAGGCGGTAAAGCGGATGGATGATAGTAGATTGTATGTACATAACTAGACTACTTCTCGTTTAGATGAGCACTTCCATTAGAGAAGTTTGAAAATGACACCAATGGCCGATAATAATTAGGAGCAACATACTGCCTTGGTATGAACATTTGGGGAAGAGAGTATACAAAAAGAGTTCTGAGCATGAATTTGGATGGTAACGTGAGGAGAGGGGCACCGGATAAAATACAAGGTGCAAGTATTGAGTTAAGAAGGATACATATTGCACCGAAACTTAGTAATTGAATTAGAACAAGGGAAATGAAATGAGGTTTTCTTTTAGTTTTCATATCACAATATAGTTAGCTGAAACACGTTTAAAAATACCAGTTAGGCGGTCGCAGCTTAACTCTCTAGCTATAATTCCAGCGATATGATACGAAATCTTGTCGACGTTATGGCTAGAGAGTAACGACAAACGAATGATAAAGAATCATGATTATGGATTTGATAGCAGTGTTACCAACTTAGTCATTTATCCACCAAACGACATGAGAAAGTACTACTTTGAAACGAAATATCGTCATGACATCACTAAGATGTCGTATCCTATGTCTAGAATCAACACTATAGAGTCTGGCGGTCGCTCTGCCGTACTGTACGATAGCAATGCGACAAAAACCACACGTGACGTAGGCACAGGAACTTACGTAGGTACGAGCCCGTTATGGTTGTCGCGTTTTCTACCCTATAAAAATGAACCCAAGAACCATGCGGAAACTCTGATCGATGACTCAATCTACTGCTCAGTTAGTCGCTGTTTCCGACATTAACTTTATAATGATTTCATTCAGTTACGTAAAATTGGTAAGGCTATAAAACTAACAAATGGGTTTTATGCCTTATAAACTTACAGATCGCCTGGTCGACAGACAAGTAAAAAACGATAAGTAGATTCTTTTTAATAATCATAAGCACTCATGATGTTGATTGAATCCAACAGTCAGGTAAACCCCTAACGTAAACTTATTCCTACGAAAGTCAATGGCATCACCAGTGGGGGGGAGCAGAAGAGGCTGCTGGTCTTTCTCCACATTATACAATTTTATAATGAGTCTGGGGGCAACAAAGGTTGGCTCGGAAAGAAGTCTTTTATGCTATTTCCGCGTATTGCCATTCATGGAGACATAGGACGGATTTAGTAGGAATGCTCTTACTCTATGACCCACCTCTACTATGGAGGTAGATCTGTGGTGGAAAGCTCAAAATAACTTCACTGACCAGCACTAGGGGAACTCTATACAGTAATAGATTTTCATAAAAAAACAGGATTAAAGAAGGTGGGCAAAATAATTTAATCTCAATGCATTCTAAAACATGCTTTGGGCTAGCAATAGCAATAAATAGTATTGGAAATCCCAAAACTAGGATAGGAATACTAGGATCATCGAGTATTTACCATAGTTATACAGACCAGACTTTACCATAGTTATACTTTTTACTTATTTCCAGAAATGCAGTACAAAATGCTCCTGACCACACGAGCCACATGTTTTCTTCAAGGAAAGTCCTAATAATATGTCACAGAACTCATCAATTTTTAAATATAAAAAAGTTAATTCACTGATTCTGAGACAAAATGGCAACTTCATTTGTAAAGATAAATAAAAGAAGCCTTAAATTAGTCACGTCTATTATATTTCCCACACTCATTCTTTTAATAAAAATATAAATCATTACATTTGAACATTCAAACTATGATTTACAAAGTAATATAAACCTTGAAGAAAATTTGTAATAATTACTCACTTTATATAAACTAAATAAGCCAAATCAATTTCCTCCTAATTTTTATAATTATTTTAACTTGAAATGACAATATTACTATGGGTATAAAATGTAATAAAATATCAGAAAACTACTTATACTTTCAGTTTCTCACCGTACACTTTATAAGTTTAATTATTTTATGATGAACCTATACAAGACCTAATTAATAGATTAATCAATATTTCACAATAGCACAATGGTTTATCAAGCATACATTATAGTTAATTTAATGGTATGTCCTGCAATTTAATACAATTAGATAATGTTGTATTTGATAAATCTTTAAACTGAAAATCGTAAAGATTTATGAAGAATATCAACAGCAATATCAATAAACATATAAGAAAAAATGTAAACAAACATTATCAGACCTCTGTTTTTCACCTTCCGCTGCGGTTTCCCCCGTTGCTTCTTTAGTGGGGGTAGGCACTTCCTCATCTTGAGGCTCGCCTTTCGCAGCCCCCATCCACGAAGTAACCTGATTCGTAAGCCCTGAAAACATTTTCACTGGCACTATCTAAACAACTACACAACACAATCACTCAGCGATTTCACAACGCTGCAACAGTTTCGCACATGACCCACGCCGCGGACAGACTGCGATACGCTAGCAGAAAGCGTGATCAGCTGAAAAACTAAATGAAAATCCACGATCGACCAGGAAAATTAGGAATTTACTGCGCATGAAAACTTGCGCTCTGCGCTGTTTTGAGTTCTAAACAGGCAACACAAGTTACTAAAATATAGTTGTATTCAGTTCTTTGATAATAAAACTTAATTCATTGGCTTAAAGTAACTTTTAGTACAAATATCAAACTTAATAATATAAAACTTCTTTTCATAGCTGTATATTCAGCAAATTACGTCACAGATAACTTAATCTCAAATGCATCAAATGTCAATATATCAAAGAGTATTATATCTCCGTCAAAATATAAGCCTGCTCATTGTGATAAATACAACTTAGACCCACAGCATAAGACAAACAATAATAAAAATATAATAGAACATTTTTATATAAACTACTTGGGAGATATTATCTACAAGTGATTTTCCCACAGTAATGTGGGAAGAACCGCTCTGTAAATTGGTATTGAATAATATATTAAACACGTCTGCCAATCCTGCAGAGCATGCTCGTCTCTTAACTGTCACTGGATGGGAATCAAGTCTTTGGTTACAACTCTATCCTCAGCGACAGTTAGAACACTTCCAGATAATACGACTTACCGCCTTGCAGTTTGTCTTCACCTGGGGGCAACCTTTAATATTCCCCATCTTTACCCTTGCGGTGAAACAGTAGACTATTTAGGTAAGTCACCAAAGTTTATCATGCAGGAGAAGTACTGGTCGTAAATCTCGACATGCAATATTAATGATATTATTCATCAAGTTCTTGGCACGGATGAGAAGACTGTTTGTATGTCGCCAAAAAATTAGTTTCACAATTCAAGAAAAAACGCTCGCAGTTTTCTGGCCACCTTACCTGTAAGCAATGATTCGGAGGATATTTTTTATCTAGTATAATTTTAGTCATAGCTTAGATAAGTAGCTTTAACATATCCGTTTCAACGAAAGAAATGAATGGAGAGTATAATGAACGCATAATGCAACATTAACGTAGTCTTATTATTAATCTTTCATATTAGCCTATCCTAACGCTCGAATCAGATTATAGCATAAATATTTAAATTCTATAGACATTATATTTTAAAAAGACGAGCGTGTGTAAGCACTAAAAACCACAGACAACCCAAAATCCAGTTACTGACAGCAAATGTCAATGTCATTTATGTCAATCATAAAAACATGACGTTTTTCCAATAGGTCGTGAATTTTTGTTTGCAGTGTATTTTATTAGTGCAATCTTATTGTAATTTCTATCAAATGTAGTATGTAGTGTTATTAACGACGATCTAATCTTTACAATATTATTCGGAACTTTTAGGAAGAAGAGGAAATTTCAATATGACGGAAACTAGAAGAATGCAGCTTCACCTTGGAAAATGTATAGAAGATTTGGATAAAATGTACAATTTACCAGATTTGAAATCCAAACGAGCTACCTTGTGAGTATTTGACATTTATTGATTATAAATATGTTTAAGGGAAATCGCCTAACCAAACAAAAACTATTTCTTTTCAAAGGTTATGTAAAACAGCTCAAAAATTGTTTGAGAGTGCTGAAGAGGCTTACAAAAACGGTGATGAGGAGTACTCGTATGTTTATTATATGAAATACTTGCGTATCATTGCTTTTATAACCAAAGATAAAGAGTATCAGAAAGACAAAACTTATTTCAACAATATGCTTGGTTCTAAAAACCCAAACAAAGCTATAGATGCTGCTGAAAAACTGAAAAACAGCCTCATAGAAAGGTAAGCTTCGGGACAAATAATATGTTTTAATAGTCCTTCACATTATAATTTCATAATACTGAACTTTGTCAATCAATTTCAATAATAATGACTAAATATTAGTTTTAATGGTTATGTAATTAAGCTTATTTACATCACTTTAATGGTACTTAGTTGTTTTGATAATTGTTAATTATATATTTGAGATTTTTTCAGTCTATTGTTTACAACACAATCAAACAACAAAACATTATCTTCAAATAACATCAATATAATATTTTTTTATATAAAAGATAACAAAACCTTTTGCTGTAACACCAAATTGTATTACTTCTACAGTCAGTTGCATTACTGTCCATTAAGAGTTAACAACACCTTTAAGTATCAAGTTAGTACGAGAAATGTCACTTTAAACTAATGACAATTTCAATGGATGCTTTTGTTACTGGCTGATAATGTGATGAATCTTAAAGATGATTATAAAATCCGTAACATAAACAATACAGGAACTACTATACTATTTTTTCTTTCTCTTTTGATATTAGTTAATATTGATTTTTACACTATTGTTTTTCTTGTGACTAATTACAACAAATAATTATTTCCAGGTATGAAAAAGAACGAAAAGCACAAAGACTCAATGACATCAAGGAAAATGAACTGATTAAACAAAAAATAGAAGAGAATAGAAAAAAAGCTATGGAGTCCATGGCTGTTGTGGAACCTGCCCCCACAATGGGATTGCCAAGTAAATATTACTAACCAATAGTTCTAAATTTGAAAGTAATTTAATCAATCCTCTTTCAAAATTTTGATAATAATATCTATATAAAATTCAATTCTATAATACTAATCACAACCATGTAGAAAGAGTGAATCATATAAGTCCTATTCAAAAGTATGTACAAAATTGTAGCTGGACAATAAAGAACCTTAGATAATACTATAGGCATGTTTATTTGTTTAGAGATACTTTAACATATGGTAAAATTATCAAATTTCTCCATTCTATTTTTATATGTTGATCATAGAATTCAAGATATTATCATATTTGACATGCAAAATCTTATATGTAAATGTCTTGCATTTGCAATCATCTTTATCTAGCAAATTTTGTCATAGTAAAGTTAACCATTTTAGGTTTTCACAATATCTGTCAATGGGCACATAGGTCAACATATGAAATTCTCTGTGTTTGGTGACCTATAACTATAAACTAAAAGATAGGCACTCAGCATATGTTGTCATTTATATTTTTTGGTTATATTTCTATTGAACCACATAGAACCAACTATCCAAAAGTGTTTCACCTTTATTTATTTGTTTATAATTTCATTGTAATCTCCCAGGTTTGGATGAAGTAACAATTAGAAGTGAACAGCTGTACACAATCCTAAAGAATGGCAAATTGAAAGTAATGATACTTGATGCGAGGCCTGGCAAGGATTACATAGAGTCCCACATCAATCACCATGCCTGTATTAGTGTTCCTGAAGATTGTATATCACCAGGGTGAGATTTTGACATCATCTAGGTATTTAACTGTTGTTTGTGACACAAGGCAATATCAAATTAGGTCAAAATATAAAGGCTTAAGGCCTTATTAATAAGCATTGTGTAATTATACAGTGTTTTGTCTTTTTCACTCATTCTTATCATTGTTATTATTATTAATTAGTAAAACTAAATAATACTAGTATATAGTACATAGTCATTAATTGTTGTTAATTTATAAAATTTAAAGTGTGCCATGTACCACAATAGAAATCCCATGACCTTTTGAATAGTTGATGTTGGCTGTAAAGATATAAATTCCTTTGCTTAATACTAATGATTTTGGCTTTAAACAAGTACAATAAATCGATCAGTCTTTATTAACCAAGAAAAGGTCCAATAGAAATGATATTCTGACAATTATGTGAAACAATAAGTTCTAGCTTTCTTGATGCACACATATATATTTTTTATTGTAATCATTATGCAGAAAGTCAGCCAACACATTAGAGCAAAGTTTGCCGACTGCCTCCAGACCCATATGGGCCGAACGAGCAACTATGGAGCTTATCATAATGCTGGACTGGAGCAGTACAACTGTTATACCTGGAAAACCACTGCATCTTCTAAAAACTATTTTACTCAAGGTATTATTATTTTAATTAATTATTACATTACTACCACCTCAAACATTTTAAATACATGCAGTTTTATTTTCTTATACACTACAGGAAAACTTACGAGTTAGAAAATATGGTTATTAATAATCTAAATAATATGTTATTTTGTAATTTTTATGTTTTAAAAGTATGTATAAATTGTGACCTTTTTTCTAAGCTGAAGCCTAATTGTCTAATTTTAAAATCTATCACAATCCTTTCAATTTAACATATGATAGCTATTGCGATCGCGACGTTTTTTTAGGATATTGAATAAACAATAATGTTTATTTAAAGTTGATCGGAATTTTCTAAAAAAAATATATTTAGTTACAAATGTCTTTGCAAGCTATTGGGAAATGTCAAAAGAATTGCCAGTGACATTTATATCATTCAAGTCATCATTTGTTCCAAGTGATTGTGACTGAAAGTTACACAATAGGTATGAGGACAAAATATTTTTTGTATGTCTATCAGGTAGATTGTTGAAAAATTGTATTTTTTGCGTGATCACGCATTAAATTACGGCGATATATTGAGTTAAATAGTCACATCACGTCACGCTCTACAAAACTATGACGTAGCTAGCTATTTCCTGTTAAATTAAAGGTAAAAACCGGCCAAGCACTAGACCGACTCGCGCACCAAATTATTTAATATTTTTATTATATTTTCGCAATTATTCCTGTATCTGTAAGACGTTACTTTGTACCAAATTTCAAGGTTCTGAGTTCACATTTACAAATATTGCGGCAAAAACGACTGTATCTTTTGATTGCGTTGGCTTAGAAGTTTGATTTATTCACAACTCCAAGGGACAGTAGACCTGAGTATTTGATATAAATTTCAGCTCCTAAGAAAAAGGGTCTTGACAGACCACGGATAACAAAGTGATACTATAAGGATTTCGTTCTTTCCTTTCGAGGTGCGGATCCTTAAAAATACGTATCTAATATTTTTATTGTATTCTCAGTGGGACGTGAAGGTACAATATGCGCGGGCTCCGCTGGCGCTGTGGGGCGGGTTCGAGGAGTGGCTCCTCAAGTACCCCGCCCTCACCACCAACCCCCGCGCCGCACCCCCGCCTCAGCAGCACCATCTCCTCGACGACATGCTCGGTCAGTACACACCTAACACCATCAACTATTCTGTAACCAGACATTTATCGAGTTATTTATAACCAGGGGTATATACTATATAATCGAAAATCCAGATAATCGATTTCAAAGTCCAGTCAAACGATATTATTATGATATTGGTTTAAACCGGCCTAGGGCCATGGCCTAGATCCTGATGCGGCTTTAGTTATAACATATGGGATCCGATTCATCATGCCTCTAAAGCCACTTAAATGCAATATCTAGATGTTTAAATGATTTCGCGTGAGATGGTACACATTTGTACCGAAATAAAGACTACCACTTCAACGCTATCAAAAAATGAATTATGTAATACAGATATTATTTGAGCATGGAAAGAGATTGATCGCTGTCGCTATCCATAGAACTTTGTAAAGTTGCAGAATATTTACTTATTTTTAACTACAAATAATTATTTGAAATAATTTTCAATAATAATTAAAATTATGAATTTCGTGTTTTCATTAACAAAATTTAAAAATGCTATTGGAAAAATAAAGTTTCGACATTAATCGTAGCAGGTGTCTTTCACAGGTGACATTGACTACCCAAACTGGTCTGATTTGAATCCGGTGACACCACCCTCCATCACACGACCTAAACTCGGCGAACCAGTTGTCGACAGAAGCAGCAAGGTAAAAAAAATATTGCAACTGATCTCGAACTTTTATGGCATTGGAACCCTTATGGAAAGTCAATTATTTGGGACCCTAAAATAAAATCAATTACTGTAGCACCGGTTATTTTCAGAAATATGTATAATATTTTTGTAGCCCCACATTTGTTCTAGACTTTAGATAGTGCTGCTCTTTGTATTAAACAATGAAATCACAAAAATAATTTTGTAACAGTAATAAAGTGTAATAAAATTTGAAAACAGCATTGTTTTACAATATTAAACCGTTTGTCACAACAAAAGAACGCTTAAAATTTACGCTGATTCGCTTCTCCAATTCATTACTAGGTGGCGCTGTAGTCTTTTGAATCGCGCAAGCGTTGTGCGCTCCCCGATTAAATAAAGAGTCTTGTATGCGTCTTATGAGCACTCTGGTTTCCCTTCAAAACGTATAAATCTTTCGCCTTTTACTAAAGATTTCCGTGGAGGGGAACACTCAAATGAGTCTTACTCAATTTTTTTTGCGAGCTCTGCCTTCTGGTAGGGCTTCATTATTAGAAAAAAATAGTTTAATAACGGGTAGGCGCCGGTTGATTGTTTGTTATGTATGGTTTATTTTTAAATCTTCTTTACTTTATTATTAACTGTTGTTTTTGTGGATGGCTTTTGCAAATAAGTCTGAGCTTAATAAAATGAATATGTTCTCATATAAATAAAAAAAAAACTTATTTGTGTAGTTTATTTATTCCATTATATACATTATACGTAGTTATAACGAAGTTTCAAAATAATTTCGTTAAACTTAACTGAAAGCTGATCATTCATATGACAACCAAGAATCATAAAACTAACTGTAACTTTTGTTTTACTTTAAATGAACGGGCTATAAATTTGACTAAAATAAAATCAAACATATCATCAAATGCTTTATCTATCAATAATTAGCCCATGACTTCGCCTCCGAATATGATGTAGGTACACGTAAATGAAAGAATTTAAACCGAACGTATTAGTTTCGGAACCTATTCGATCCTCTTGAATAAATGAACTGATTTCAATGGGATGTTTCTTTTATTAAAAAAAAAAAAAACATTAAAAAAGCGCTGGTTGTGAAAATCGGATTATAAATTTAAGAGGTATTAGCACTGCCATGACGAGGTAGAAATTCTTAAATTTATTAATACTTAAAGTATAATAGCTTGTAACTGGGCAAATTTGATTGAATTTAAAATATTTTTTAAAACCCTTTAAAAATCATTTTATTTAAGACCGGCGAGGCTTTCCCGTTTTACTTTTACCCCTATTACTCATACCCTGATGTTCTATAATCCATGGCCTTCCTCAATAAATAGACTATTCAACACATATAATTATTCAATTAGTACTTCTTGGAGATTAGTACATTCAAACAACTAATCTCTTTATAATATTAATATAAATTAATGTGTTTCATATGGTGAATGAACATCAATATAGTGTAATCATGATGTGTGTCCAGGCAGCTGCGGTACAGATGTACGAAGAGCGCGCGCGCAACATGCAGATGATACTCGACCAGCAGGAACGGATTGCTGACACATCGCTCACGCTCGAAATGCAACGAATAGAGGCCGAACAGGTAATGTATATTGAAATCACACGTCAAAATTTGAATCCACACGTCCAATAATTGAAACATTCCGTTCTAAAATGTCCTATTCTATAAAATGCCCGACTATGTCAAAATGTTCAATAGGGATTCAGACAACTTCCTGATAATTGTTTTAAATTAAGCATTCATCATCACCAGCCCTTTTACGTCCCCACTGTAGGGGCTCAGGCCTTCCTTATAGATGGTTAAGGAGGATTTGCCATGACCCTCCACGCAGGCCCAATGCGGATTGGAGGGTATTAACGACTGCAAATGCAGCCGCGACCAACGGCTTAACGTGCCTTCCGAAGCACGGAATAGCTCGATATAATAATTTTTTGGTCACCCATCCCGTGACCGACCCTTGCTAAAGTTGCTTAACGACTACGATCGTGGGCTGCGGCGCTTATCCACTACGCCACCGAGCTTAAGCATTATGGACACTTATATTATTAAAGTGTGTTTAGAATTTGACTGTTTGAAAAAAAAACCGCGTAAACGGCGACTCGGACGTGACGTCATTTGTAGAGCCCCCTGTAAACGATCAAGCTTGCTTGACAAATTTGCTTGTCAAACTTTACGTTTTCATCAATTAACAGCGCATACGATCAAGCCAAAGATCAAACAAATTTGTTAAGTTTCGGTTTACTTTGTTATTTTCGCGCTTAAAACATGTACGTAGAATATTAATCTTTTTCTTCTTTTCATCCGTAATGTTCCGGCGATACATTTTCAGTAAATTAGTATTTTTTCTTTAATGCTATGCTTCTTTTGTTATTGTCCATATAATCTTTAGATTTTACTTTCCATAGATTCAGCATATCACGATAAATAGATATGAAATGCAAGGTAAAATCTTTATCCGTAATAATATCGTCACTTTACATTGTATTTTTTTATTTGGCGTACCTACCGTCTTCCAAGATGCAACACAACGACTGACATCCTGCTTGACAAACACCACCGTTCACGTACAAACTTGTTTGTCAAGCACGACTTCAATCTAAATTTTCATCAAACACGTCAAACACGTAGATTGTTTGACAAGCGCATCAAGCGTAGCTGCACACTATCAAAAAGTTTGTCAAGCACGTAAAGTTTGACAAGCAGTTTGATCGTTTACAGGGCACTTAAGGGATTTGCAGAAAAAAATGTTTTATCGTTCTTATATTTAAACTCATAATACATGACATAAATAAAACAGTAAACTGACCCTAGGTAATCTGTTATAAATCAAATAAGTAAATCATTAAGATTATTTTGCACTTTGAATGTTTTCCGCGCTTTTCCTAGTAATTTTACCCACAAATGACGTCACGTGCTCTGATTGGTATTTCATTTCACGTGAGATACATACTACAAATATTTCGATAATATTTTTTTTATGACCAACTTCACCAGACTGATCATGTTCTTAAAAATTTGATTTGATTTCCCTAGGATTGGGAAAAAATACATATACAAAAAGAGAACGCCCAACAAGATGAACTGCGTGCTGTCTACAAACTGCGTGAACAGGAAATCATATCACAACTGATGCAGCTAGAGAACAAGCAATATGATATGGTAAGCATTACATTGTTTAAATAGCTGTTTTCCCGCGACTTGGCCATCAGCTTATGATATAAGTCTAATTCCTGTAGGTGAAAGAATTTTCAATATCGGTCCTGCATTTTCGACACATTCTATGCAAAATAACAATCAAACATTTCCTCTTTATGAGATAAGCATAGAAATTAATTAATATGGCTTGTATTGTTTTTATATAGTGTCGGCTCTCATTAAATTCTTTTCTTTTTCATTTATATATTTCTCTACATTAATATTAGAAATAGGTAAAGGACAAACTCAAAGAATTACTACATCGATTATAGAAATAATTTCATTTATATATTGTTTAATTAACAGTGACTAATATAAGCTTATTTTATTTGAGCTATTTTGCATTCACAATGCTATTTCATTATTATTCATTTAGGTCCTGGGTATCTCAGTGGTTAGAGCAGTCGCCCGGATTGCGAAAGGTTATGGGTTCGAATCCCATCTCAGAATACCAGGGACAAAGTGAACTTTTTGTTAAGAATACAAGCTTATTTTATTTAAAAAAATATATACATGTTATTTTATAGTCCATGCCAAAATCATTGTATGCGTTACGTAAATTCAATGACGAAATAAAAAAAAAATCGGGATCTCGAAACAAATAACTGGTTGTCGCTACTTTTGTCGCTCTTTTTGTGACATGAAATTTAAATTTCCTTCTGACATAATAATGAATCAAGTTTCGAATTCTTAATAAATGAGTCATTGACTACCAAAAAAAAATGTCTACTGCTGGTTATAATTTGAAGATTCCATGTGAAACAATAGTCCATCATCCAACTTTGATCATTGTTTACCTGGACTCTTCGTTTGTTGTCACGTGTTCAAATACAATGTAGGAACAAGAGAATCAGAGTTTACGCGAACAATTGGAAGAGTATCAGCGGCGGGAGCGAGAGGAGGCAGCCCGTCTCGCTTCCACGCTCGCGCAAGATCAACTGCAAGCTGAAGGTAATATAAATACCGTATTGTTTTTATTGAGTCGATACTACGCGTACTGTGAGGTAGATTTACATATAACTCGTACGAATTAATATGACAACAGAGGGTCTATTCTTTATGTCCTCGAACGAACATTCGGAAAATTTCGAATAATTCTTAAAATTTTGTTTAAATCATATTCATATATAATCTTTACAGAGGCAGTATCAAATCTCCGCAGTTGCATCATTACATTATCGTGAATTGCGTTTCTAAGGAGTCTTATTAGCGTTTCGAAAATAGACGACATTTCACTATCGCAGATCCGGAATACGCCTTTAAGTGTTGTAGTTTAGTATGTAGTACTTTCTTATTAAATTAAGTAACAAGAAATTCGTCAGTCCTGTTAGGTCTTAGCCATTCAACTATTGCCAGAACAGTCGCCCGGATTGCAAAAGGTTGTGGGTTCGAGACCCATCTCGCGGTCTTCAGGTGTTTCAAATCATATTATTTCATACAAGTAGTTATATTTGGCACTAGTTTGTGGTGTCGCTGTCACAGCACCCTAATGATATTTAATTAAATGTGTTGAATATATCAGTGAACGAGCAGGCGGCTGCGGCGCGTGACCTGCAGGCTAAGCGAGCGCGTATAGCCGCCGTGCAGTCCCAGCGGGACCAGCTGGACCGCCGCCGCGAGCAGCTGGAGATAGAACGCAAGCGCAAGCTCGCTGAAGCGCGGGACAAGCGGAAGCCGAGCCATGACCAGGTACCGATATGATACAGTATACTGTACACTATCACTCACCAGCTGGACCGCCGCCGCGAGCAGCTGGAGATAGAACGCAAGCGCAAGCTCGCTGAAGCGCGGGACAAGCGGAAGCCGAGCCATGACCAGGTACCGATATGATACAGTATACTGTACACTATCACTCACCAGCTGGACCGCCGCCGCGAGCAGCTGGAGATAGAACGCAAGCGCAAGCTCGCTGAAGCGCGGGACAAGCGCAAGCCGAGCCATGACCAGGTACCGATATGATACAGTATACTATACACCATGGGTGGCCAACCAGTTGATCGCTACTGTTAGTCCAATCGATCGTGGCAATTAAAAAAACCTAAATAAAATCAAAATGCTACATAATTGTGTACGAACTATGCTGGTTCATTTAAGATTTTAAGAAGTAAAGTTATTGGTAGATCGTACTGGGTGTCGTCAGTGAATAGTCGATCTTGGGTCTAAACAAGTTGGTCACCCCTGCTATACACTCTCCAGCTGGACCTCCGCCGCGAGCAGCTGGAGATAGAATACGAGCACATGCCCTGTACACTCTCACTCGCCTTACTCTTACTCGCCTTATTTACGCACTGTCATTACAATAAATTAAAAAAAGTTTGAAGTAATGAAATAAACTTCATTCTAGAGTTGTGTAAACACTAGTTAGAATCGACTAAAGCTTGTCATTTTAATACAAAATCTTCATTTCACAACACAGATCACTAGATGTAATCTTAGATTGTAAATAAACTAATCGTAAGTCCGAATGAAAATTGTTTGTCCATCTCCGTCGTTTGGTATGCGCAGGACGAGGACGGCGACACGTACATGATGTCACCAGGAGACAGTCCTGGAGCGGCCGCGCTTAGTAGATCGCACTCCTCACCAAACATACCCAAGGTATGTAACATACATTCGATCTTCGGAGATTATTAAATTCATAAAATCAAAAAAACATAATCAGGCACCTACTGAAAAGCTTAACGTACTTGAAAAAAGACACCGGAATTGCCGGTTGCGATTCAAAAAGATAATAAATTTTATTAAGATAATAACTTTTGACCTCATTTGTGATTATTATGACAAGTTCCCGTCTGATGATGAAGAAATGCTGGTGCCCTCTTTCGACCGCAGTACTAAACCCAACAAAGTGGCGCCCTCCAGCGAACTCTACCAGAGAGACTTCCAACCTGTTTGGGGTGAAGTGGTGAGTCAATACTATTTATTATCCAACAATCCTGCATGAAGGACCATAATAGGTTAATTCGTTAGTTTACAAACTTAATTTAGTACTATTTTTAGAGAACTAACAGTTTATTACAGTAAAAGTTCCTTCATATTGTTATAATTCTGGGTGTGGTGATTATTTATACATACTTCTCGATATCAATCATAAATCGATGAGTACAAAAATATAATACTAAAATGGCTCGCCTCACGCTGAAGGATGAATTTTGATGTCCGGTAAATATCAACCAATTAGAATGATTCAAGTAACGTGATATCGGGCGATCCACATACCTAACCCCCGCCGAATATGAGAGACGGACACCTAATTCGTTGTATTTTACGCCTTCTTATCATCAAAATAAGACTCAAATCGTATGTTCATAAGTTACCTGGAACTTACTGTACTCGACTTTAAAAAATCTACTATTTGTCTTAATTTTTCATTATAATTCATTTTGAAAAATACTTTAAAAGTCGTTATTAAACAAAACGGACCATTAACCTTGACATTAAAAGAATGCTTTCTGCATTTATGTGAAAAATTATTGTAATTTGTTCTACTAGTTAGTAGAATCGTCTACTTACACATTTTTTTTCTTTTTTATTATTATTATTGGTGATATTCGCACCTCCTAGCCCGATGGCTAGATTTAGGTCATTGACTGTTAATGAAAATGCGCTCAATTTAAGTAAATGACGTGAACATCGTGTTTAAATAAATAAATAAGCAATATTACTAATCACATACATTGATTATCAAGGACATTAAGTTATATATTGGTACTAGATGGGTTCTCAGGAGCTTTTGTAGATTTTTGTTTCGTCGGCTCGTCGGCTAACAAATGACGCACCCTGATGTTAAAATAAAAAAACCGAGTGCAAGTTAAACGCTTTTAAATCACGTATACTCAATGGGAGTCCCCTTAAATATTTATATTATTCTGTATTTGTTAATATTTGTGCTCAACATATATCATCCGTGAAAATTTCAACTGTCTAACTATCAAGGTTCATAAGATACAAACTGGTGACAGACAAACAGACAGACGAATGAACAATAAAAACCTGTTTTACCCTTTGGGTGCGGAACCCTAAAAGTGTTTTTGTCAACGTTTTTGGTAATAGTAAAAAAAAAACAAAAGTAACGCCCTGTATCATTACCAATACTGATGACTTGTGAATGAAATAATTAGGATACGTTCAGGCATTTTTGTAGTCCGTTTCACATAGCATGGGTATGGTGACGTTTGTTGACAATCCATTTCACGCAATTTTTTTTCCAATAATTCAAAATCTTCATTATAAAAAAATGTTTGCCTGTATATTAATTAGATATTAATTTAAATTTGCACATTAAAACACAAATAAATTTTTAATAAACGTAATTAATTACTGAAATCTAACCCTCGAAAGTTTGATACTACTTGTTACGAAAAAATATTGGACAATTATTAAGTACTTGTAATAAGTTTATTCGAATAAAGGATTTTTTTAGTTTTCATGTCTGTGACCTCAAAAACCGCGTAATCGAACTGTAAACAAATACTAAAGTTGTTTGAGCTAATTAAAACAAGGTATGAGCAATAATCGTTAGCAAGTTGCGTGCGCGGTACGTACGAGCTGGTGACGGGCACGTTCCTAGGCGGATTATCAACACTAGTAGGGGCTCAGACCTTGGGCTGTACCGTCACTGCATACACACACCCACGTACAATGCTCTGAATCTACGTAATCAGAACGTAATTGCATGCCTCTAGATGCAATTACGTTCTAATTACCCATAAGAAATGCACCACTTCCAGTAAAAAGGAGAAACAGAATCACTACAGCGATGTTTCTCGATTTGTGACCCTGTGACATGAGAATGGGGTAAGAAGTTTCATGGCCTATTTGACAACAGTAATAAATCTATATTTCTTTACTATATTATAAAGAGGGACAATTAGATTCTTTGTTTGCTTGCATTGAAAAGGCGCTTGAATTGATTTTCAAAATTCCTTCATCTACGCAAAGCTATATAATATATCGGTGACATTTACGCGGGTGAAGTCATGGGACATCAACTAGTAAAGGCTAAATTCCATCGAAAGTCTCGTACTTGTTACGCTTGCTTATCATGACGAACGTGCGACAGCGGGATTGCTTAGTTTTCGGAGACTAGAGTTGAGACTGGCCTTAAAATTGTAGTTTTTGGATCCTTTCGAAACGTGAAAGACTAGTCTAAATTAGAAGTAGAACTTGACGACGCAATAGTTGGCCCGTTCTGTATGCGAAAACAAATTTCGCAAGTTCCGATCATAGGATGAGTGACCAAAAATTATCCCGAACTCCTCCGTCTTTCGGAAAGCCCGTTAAGGCGTTAATACCGGCAACGAATGAAGCTGTTAACACTCACCAATCTGCTTTACGCCTGCATGATGAATCATGGCCCTTTCTTCAATTCGATTCGTTTCCATCCATAGGGAAGGCCCGAGCAGTAGTCGGAATATTAATAAGCTGATGATGATTCTAATTTAATGTCCCTATTACCCGTATTCTCTTTGCTCTCCTTTCTTTGATAAAATACAGCAACCACATAAATATGTTAGTAGAGAAAGGTAACACTGACCTTTTAATGGTCACCGAATTAACACAATAAAATTTCGGCTAATCTCCAGCGAGTTCGTTGACACTCATTTCTCACGTGAGTATTCACACGCCGGTGGTCCACCGAAATTCGAAGGCATGTATCGCCTCGTGATACAATCCACTAATACGGCTTCCGAATCACATGCGGTTTGTATGTGCGAATTCACATAAACTTTACCTCCGTGATAAAGTTCGCATAACGGTTCCATGGATTTCGAGAGGTACATATCTGAGAGTCTACAGCGCTCGTGCGGAAAAAGGTCTTTAATCCGCGCATCGCTTACTATAGATAGAGACATACAGGGTCTACTGCGCTACTTCCTGATATCAATATAAGTTAATTTAACTGTAGAAGTTATTTTTTTATTGGTCGTACTGCGTAGGTAACTAATCTAAGTTCAAAGGCGTGTTCGGTTTGCGATGCGGAAGTTAAATTTTGAAGCAAAAAAAAATCTTTATTTTATTCTGTTTATATTTGTTGTTATAGAGACAACAGAAATACAACGTCTGTAAAAATTTCAATTGTCTAACTATCACGGTTCATGATATATAGCCTGGTGACACGCAAACTGACAGCGGAGTTTTAGATATGGTATCCCGCTTTTTGCCTTTGCGCAGGGAACCCATTTTTTGCACTGGGAGAATGAGTTAGGCGCAACCCTTACCGCCTGACGGGCCAGCAGGGGTTGTGTGGAACTCTCCTTTGCACTAAGGCGGAGGTCTTCCCACTAAAAACCCTGGACATACCCTCGGTCGTGGGTGGCCCTAGGAACCCGGCCATATTCGCCAAGACAGCCACCCCGTGGGTACAGAACCTTAAAAATTGTTATCTCGACCTTCTACGCACTTCTGAAGGCACGTTAATCAAGTCTTTGGTCTCGGCTGCATTTCTGGTAGTTATCAACCCGCATAAGTATGTGACTCACTTTGTAGCCGAAAGTAATAATTGAGAACATTTATAATAATTGAAATGGTTTGAGAGTTATTAATTAAAAACTGCTTTTACGATATAGTCGCGGAACACGGCATCATCTGCCCCTCGGACAACCAGTGTTATATTGTATATAATCTTTATAAATCCGTGTAAATTATAGTCTATGTCACCCGTATGTGATGTAGATTCCCATAGAATTTAACAAATCGGTCCAGTAGTTTTCCATCAGCCCTTTTTTCGTCCCCACTGCAGGGGCTCAGGCCTTCCTTATGGATGGTTAAGGAGGATGGGCCATGACCCTCCACGCTGGCCCAATGCGGATTGGAGAGTATTAACGACTGCAACAGCCGGGACCAACGGCTTAACGTGCCTTCCGAAGCACGAAGTAGCTCGAGATAATATTTTTTGGTCACCCATCCCGTGACCGACCCTTGTGAAAGTTGCTTAACAATAAAGATCGCGAGCCGCGGCGCTTATCCTCTACGCCACCGAGCTACTCTGCCTATTCGTTGCAAACAAACAATCTAATTTTATCTCTTTGTAATATCAGTAAATATTACGAATCGGGGAGATCAAATTCACCGATCTACTCTATAATTTATGTAGTATGATATAGCATAAGCGGCGGTCCTAAATTCAGAACTTGCTGCCGCCTATTTGTGCCCTAAAGCAACACAATATCGCATAATGCTCGGGTTATTTGTTTGACATTTGATCGGGTCGATGTTAGAGTCAAGTTCATAGTGTGGCGTGTTTACGTGGTGCTATTAATCAACGGACCGGTGTCGGTGCAACATACGCAAATTCGTTGGGCCACCGATCGAGCGATTATATGTATAAAATGAGAACGTTAGCAAAACAAGTGTCTCACACAAAAATAAATAAACCGTGTCTGTTTATTATTCACGAGGAGAAATCGCGAAATTGGACGAAACAGATACAAATTATTGTGTATTTCTTAGTGTTGAATTATCGTTAATGAATCACTATACAATTTCTAATATTATAAATTATTTCTATATCTCGGATACTCTACACAGCGACTAATACATATGTCATTTTTTTACTATAAAAATAATATCATCATCACGTGTAACGATAGAATATAATTGAATTTCAAAGGCGACATTAATTTCTGCCAGTTTTTTTTACATTACTTCACTGAAACTTAATTATGTTCCTAATTAGTTTTCTAAATTTTGATTAGTTTATTTGGACTTTTTATCTTTGCTTCACACTCAATTTGCTATTAGTGATCTGGTTTAACATAACATAACATAACTTTTGTCCGTCTGTGTCTGACTGCTGTACCTTCGTTGTTTTACGAGACCTGACTTACTTAAATTCAAAGCTTTGTATGTGATGTCTTCTGATATTTATTTAAATTATATTTTATAACAAACATTCGTCATCTG